ATATATATATATATATATATATATATATTTAATATACTGGTTATAATCATTGCAATTCTTTCTCAATTCCCTATACGACTCCAATGCTCAATCAACTCTTCGATTTCCCATTGGCTTGGGTACTCTTCCTCTTCTCTAAATGACATTCTAGTTGGGCATAGATGGGACAATATTGAGCTATCGGTATCTCTATACTTATTATCGATAGCTAACCAACTAGTCGCTAGTCGCTCTAATTCCTATTGACCCATTGCCCACTATTTGCAGTAAATACTATCGTTAGTCGCCCATTCAATACTATCGTTATGCGCATCAACAGCAGCCGCAACCTGCCGAATGTAACTTTTTCAATCAGGAAAAGTTTTTAGCAAAAAGTTGCATAGTAAAAAATCAAATAAAATAGAAAAAAAAATAATAAAGTGCTTCAGGTGAAAGAGCTGAAAGTATTTAAGCTTTGATGCTCTCATTTGGTGCGCAGTTATTTTGTATCAAGATCGACTTTAATCCATGCCCTATTGAAGCTCAGCTGGCATGCAAATACACATAACTATACGATATATAGTATATATGGGGGCCTCCAATGTGGAAATTGACAGTGAGCTTTATTTGGACAAACAATGCTTTGTGTGCATGGCAGCGCGGGCTCTACATGTGCGCTTTATTGAAAGCATTCCGCTGACGAGTTTTTGTTTTTTTCCCAGACACTAAGCGAGTGAATCAGTGGCACATGCTGAATACTGAATGCTGAATGCTGAATGTTGAATGCTGAATGCTGAATGCTGAATGCTGTATTTGAATGACAGCCAGATGCGAATGCGTTCGTTGCATTCATTCAAGATTCAGTTTGTTGAAACATGAAGCTGCAGCTTATCAGCGCTGAGGCCGAACAATGCCAGCCAACTAATGGAAACTTGCAGCAGCAGGAGTGGCAGTAAAAACAATGCGTGCTCCGATGCCGCGCTGAAAGCGTCAGAGCTGGACAGTGCATTAATTCGCCTGTTGCCATAGCTGCGGCCCAGAAGCGAATGGAGATCAAATTCGGCACGAAAAAATCTGGCTCAAAGCATCAATAGACCTCAAGTAGAGCCAACTAATTGAGGGCTGAGAGTGAGCTGAGAGCTGTTGACGAGCGCGACAGTTGAGCCGAAACCAGTCAGCTGTTGGCCAAGCGAAAGCCGAAAATCATTCAATCAATCCAGCTATTGAGCCTGCTTTGCTATGCATAATTCAGCTGGGGCCATTCATCAAACTGCCAACTGGCAACTGCTGGATGCCTGCTGCCTGGCAATGGCAACTGTAATGAACCATTTAAGACATCGTTGAGGTTTTAGCTGCCGTCAACATGCATGCTGTCCCTCTGCCCGCCCAGGCCCGCCTAATGAGTTCAGTTGTCTCACTTGATTGCCACATGTGCCGTCTGCTGCTGCTATATCCGACTCGTATTCATTCTCTCTCTCTCTCTCTCTCTCTCTCTCTCTCTGTCACTCTTTCTATCTCTGCTTGTGTGTGGCATCATTATTTTTTATCGCTCAGCCACGCCCACGGCTGAGCGAGCTTCACTTGCACAATGCGGCGTATGATTAATGTCTATGTCCACCCATTAGGTATACGCACCGTATAGCAGAGGCAAGCTGCCACAGCGCTGCTATTATATTTTTCTGACAGTTTCGGCTCTGACTGATTGCTGCTGCACTGATATCGGTGATGATGTCTTGGGCTTGTCAGGGCACGAATCTGCTACTCAATCCCCAACTGGGAGACTCTTCTCGCTGCATTTGCCCCACTGCCTTGTTGCACCTTTTGCGCACATGTTTTGTTTTTGTTTAAGCACTCGTTTTTAGTTGTTGGCCCAGCAATTAATTCAACGCACACAGGGCCAGCAGCTGGCTCAGTGCAGCGTGGCCCATGTCGAGTGGAAAGGAACGTGACATGAATGCGTCTTTGCCTATTGATGGGCACTCAGCCCAGCTCAGCTTAGTTCGGTTTGGCTTGGCTTAGCTGCAGTCGTGCCTATTCCGTGTCCAGTCACATATGAATATTTGAGCAATATGCCATGATTTGATTGCGCACACACACACACACACACACACACACACGCACAGATATATATGTATATAGACATATTGCATTGATTGAAAATGTATTAGCAACTAATCCATGGCATTGCAAATATTATTTACAGGCCGCCTCGCCGCGCTGGGAGCCACAGATCGCCGTGCTCTGCGAAGCCGGACAAATCTATCAGCCGCAATATCTATCCGAGGAGGGGCGCTGGGTAACGGACCTCAGCAAGAAGACAACGGGCGCCACATGTTTGCGTGATAAAATGGATTTGCTTGATTACTGCAAGAAGGTAAGTGAGCAGGAGGGGCAGGGGGAGGAGGTGGGCATTGCGTTTTCAAATTGAAAAACCACCAAGTGGGGGGGGGGGGGGGGTTGGCTGCCTGGACAGGTGATGGGGGCGGGGCGGAACGGAACAGGTGCTTGGCTGGTTGGCGGCTGATAGCCATCAAAACTTATTTGATAGGCAATTTTTAAAGAGACTTTCGAGTGCTAGTTGCATTAGCTTAATGACAAAAAAAAAAACAAACAAAAAAACAACTAAAACTAGATTTAAAAATAAGATTTTTTATCAAATCAAAATCGACTCAAAGGAAAGAGAAATTGGAAATTGATGAATGAATTATGTGTAATTTGCTCTTAATTGGAAGCCAAGTGAAATGAATGGAGAGCAAAGTGTAATTAGAGTGGAACAAGATTTAATTATTCTACAGAGGAAACTGGAGCAGGGCGTGGCTGTAAAATAATTACACGTTCGAATCAGTTGTTAAACCCGTTCAGGAAGTGAGAGGGCCATATTTGATATAGAGCTTCAAGGTAAAGCATCTACACGCCCACAGAAGGCGTGGCAAATGAAATGTGTCTAAATGGCGTTTAGTGGGAATTCTATTGAAGATTTCAAGTTTCGAATATATGTATCAGTGGACTGCATATATTATGTAGTGATAGCTATTGGGTATATTGGAAATATTCATTCAAATCGGTTAATACTTTTATCTTAGGCAGTACTTAGAAATAAATACTCAAAATTATCCAACTGAATATATGGTTTAATATTTATGAATTATAGTCTTACATTTTTATAGAGGTCTTGGTAATTGGGAAATGTTGAAATACTATTAGGATTATCATTAAAATTATATATAATTCAAATAATATAATATTACAAGCAATATCAATATTAAACCCCATTTTATCAGCTGTCCATATACATAACGGTAAAGCCATGAAGTGTGAAGTTGGCTGCGACAAAATTTAACAAGATTAGCTGTTCTATTTAAACGAACCTCGTCAGGACCACACTCAATATTAGTGTTAACTAACATCTCAATCAATATTACCCAATACTATGCACGAATCGACATATCGATAAGATATTCTATTCGAATAATACTATCCTCTCTGGCATATATATGTTGATTTATTTTCTTTTTTAATCCCTTACAGATCATGAACAAGTATCAAGCAGCTCTTTACGCTCGACTGCCATAATGATAGCTGAACGATGGGCTAAGCTAAGGATTAAATAAATCATGTGAATAAGTGGAGGCTGAGACTCTGGCACTGAGCTCCACATCAAAGAAGAAATCTTTTGATTCTCACTTCAGGACTAACATATTATGGATATCAACATTTTATGTTTTGATTCTCACTTCAGGACTAACATATTATGGATATCAACATTTTATGTTTAGCATATAAGGCTAAGCTCTAAGATTTCGGTTGTCTCTTTCAGGCGTGAACCTATAAACGTCTACATATTTGGTAAGAAAGTATCAGATGTGTACGAATTCTACATGCGATATGAGTCTGAGGATGATTTTTAAGTATATCCGAGAGCAAAGGATTCTTAAGGAGACTTATGCAATGACTTCTGCAAGGGACTCTTGAGAAGATTTCCGCAGTGACTGTGATTCCGCAACCCAGCGAAGAGTGGTAGAGTTTTGCGATCATCTACTATCGAGTAGAGGCGAATCATAAACAAACTTTTTTAATTAGTATTTTTTTGCGAATAGATTAGATAGATTGCGAATTCTAAATAAAGGACAATCCCACACAGATTAAGGGATTCTAAATTTCCATCCAAAAAAAAAAACCCAATCAAGTATTCGTTAGGCTCGATGTCAACGTGAGCTGAGATTAAAGCAGCCCAGTTATATTTGTTTGTGAACGTATATACGTAGGTACGTATTCAATATAATTCTGCAAAATATATAAATTTGTATATTTATAAAAATAATAATAATATATATATATATGTAAATCTCTATATATACATATATGAGTGATTCGCGCATGTGCATAAAATATATATAAACAAATCCATATCAATATCAAGATCAATCGAGATAATCGCAAGATCCACTGAATATTTGTCTACTTGCAGCATCCTAGACTAGACTAGACTAGGCAGTATGGCAGGGAAGGCAGCTCATCCGAATACCGATGTCAGAGCACGAGCCAAGGCTAGGGCAGCGAGCAGGGACAAGCAGAGGGGTGCCAGTGCAAGGATAGATGAGGAGAATGACGAGGACTTTTCCTTTGCCCACTTCGAGCGACAGTGGCGACGCTATTTGGTGAATTTCGAGCGACGCCGCCTACAGAATGTGGATTTCTTTTATGGGAACAACCAGACAGGACTCTACGGCGAGGAGGTGCAGGCTGTCGAGTTTGAGGATGCCATCGATGCAGCAGCTACGAGTGCCATCTACGATGACCAGCACAATCGGGGCGAGGATGTGGTACTTTGCGACTATTGCAAGTGCAATTGCAACTGCGCCAGCAATCCCTGGCATCGTCCCCATGCCCACGCCCGTGGCCGCACCAAGAACAGCTGCAACGATCTAGGCCATTCTCACTGACCACTCAGCAAGCCAGCAACCCAAAGCGAACAAGCATACTAACAATAGACCATACTAGTTAACGGGACTGACCGACCGACGGACCGACTGACCTGACCAGCTGAGAGAGAAATTCTTAAAAATTGTTAAAGTTGTCGAATTGCAGGCCTTAATATTTGACGTGGGAGCCCGCGTCAGGTAGGACCGAAATAATAAATTTTTGCTCAACTTTCAAGGAGCACAACACAGTTCAAACATGGCCAACACTTGCCCCAACTGCTGGCACAGCTCCCACCCAACGGCAACGCGTCTAGCAATTGCGTCTTGGAGCTGGCCACCATACTGTGAGGGCACGGCCATATGATCCATCCACACTATGTTCGCTTCTGCAAAAGTAATATCGAAATAATTGTAAATCAAATAAAAATATGTTACGGATATCCAAGAAATTCAATAAACAAATCGATAAGTGAAAATCAACTGTGTGGGCCTTTGAATTCTGAAGAGGAAGCTGGGAGGGAGAGGGCAGAAAGAGACAGCAAGAGATACAAGGAGAGAGAGAGGAAGGGAGAAAAGGGCGAAAATCATTGAGAAACATATAAATGTAGAGCGAGAGAATGACAAGACAAGAGGAGGGAGAGAGAGAAAGGTAGAGTGTTAGATACGAGGAGGGAGAGAGATAGATGTGACTAGGAGGAGAGAAAGAGAGAGAGAGAGAGAGAGAGAGAGAGGGAGAGGGAGACAGAGATTGACAACGAAATACACGTAGTGTGAAAGGAGGAGACAGAGAGAGAAATAGGACTAGAGAGAGATACACCCAACGAGAGAGGTGTGAAGAATTAGAGCGAGAGAGAGAGAGACAGACAGGCAAAGGACGAGTTAGAGAGACAGATAGAGAGACAGATAGAGAGAGAGAGAGAGACAGAGCCATTAGTTCGATTTTGAAATACAAATAGAGAGAGAGAGTTAAAGAAAAGCTTGTATATATATTTATGAATAACTTAATATTGCCTTTAATATGCGATTCCAAAAAATTCCCTCTTAGGGTTCATTAGTTTTGTCTTTAACTGTTGCCGGTAACCCTTGAGCAATAGACTTTCCTGAGAATTTCAATGTTATTTATAGCAACATATGCTGAAACTGAATGCTGCAAAACCTTTTCTTGTTAGTAAACATTAAAAAATAATTTTTAGGATTTTTCTCTGTTAGCTTTAGACAAAGGAAATTGCAAAATATGTTGGATATCTCAAGGATTCAATAACTACCTGAAGACAAAAGAGCAAATCAAATAGGAAATATGTATACGTAGCTCAATCCAGAGCTGAAGCCTCAACCAATCTGATCGTATTATATGCATGGGAAATTGAATAACTTTGCTTATAACAACATTCCAATTTTGTTATATGTCAATCCTAAAGAGAGACACTATAAAACAATACTAAAACAATAGACAATAGCCTTAAAGAGGTATCGATAGGCGGAAGTACTAATAATTCTAGTTAGAATTCCAATTCAAAATATTGATTTAAGCTATAATAATAAAACTTGATTAAAGGAAATACAAAAAAAAATTCTATTCGAGATTCGAGTTCGATTCAGCTCTACATTGCGGGAAATTTGTATTCCATATGAGGTCTGCCACGCCTCCTGCTACCATCTTTGTCCCATTAGCTGCAAATATGCGAGTTTATTTATAGTTCTTGTGCACCGAATCTCTGCTCGAGTTTGTTTTCATTCCTGAGCATATTCCACTCATGGCAATATGTTTCTAGCAGTCGAGCCTCGTACAATAGTTGGCCAGACAGGGAGGGGGGTAAGGGAGCAGGAGTCGATATTTTATTGCTATTGCATTGGGATGCTAAACTCCCTGGATAGTTGATTGTGCCACTCACTCAGTGGAAGGTTGTTGCACCTGAGACCCGCAGCGGTAACACGAAGCGCATGGGGTACAAATTCTCAGACTCAAGTGTCTGCACGCGTGTATGAGTGTATGAGTGTGTGTGTGTGTGTGTCGAAAATTAAAGCCCACACGAGCGTATGCCTAGAAATTGGGAATGGTTGAATGGGTGGGTGACTTGGGATGGTGGGAGTGAATGGGTATGGGATGGGAACCACAACAACCACCGGCGATGGTGACGGCGACAGTAACGCGTGGACAGCGCGCACTTTTGTCATGCTCGATTGTGCCGAAAACAAGTGGCATTACAACAACAACAACAACAACAGGAACGGGAACGGGAGCGGGAACAACTCGAATGTCTGGCAAACAACTAGCTGAAGATATACAGGAACAGGTTGCTTGTGTAATTTGATTACAATCAACTTTAAATAGAGCAGCAACCACCTAGCCGCACCGCGAGCACTACACGTCCAGGACTAAACAGACAGCCAAACAGGAGTCCGACTCGCCCAAGCGTCAATCGCGACCCACGGCCCACGGCTCACGGCCCACGGCCCGCCTCGAGCTGAAGTAGCGGTACAATACAATTAACGACACGAATCATGATGTGCTTACCTGGCAAACGACCGTCACGTGGCCCGTTCCCAGCAGGCTTACACGTCACAATTTTAATTTTATTAAAGAAACATTTCAAATTAACCACACAGTGAGAGAGAGAGAGAGAGAGAGAGAGACAGAGAGCGAGAGAGCGGGAGAGAGAGGGACGCAGCAAAAGCGGAAATTGAAGTTGTCGCCGTTGTCATTGTTGCTGCTTTTGTTGTAATCAAAATGACTGTCATAAAACGCAGCAAAACGGTTAATATACCATATACGCATAGCACACACACACATACACACATACACACATATATATATGGCCCATTACAAGGCCAATGCATTGAAGCATTTCGTAACATTTCCGCCAAATTCAATACGATCTGCTGCTTAAATGTATTTCAATTACCGCTAGTTGTGGGCATTACGTATAGTCCTAATTAATCCACGTTATATATGATGAGCTCAGTTGCTTCAGTGCCCCATTGTTAACTTAATTCCAATCTTGAAAAAAGAAATACAGTCGAGTACCGACTGTATCGCAACGGCAAGGGAATCCGATTTTTTCGATTTATACAGAAATGCAAACTATCGAGAATTATCGAGAACGATTTTTTGCAAGGGAATAGCATTTTTTTTCGATTTATCACGGTAGAAATTATCGAGACTCGACTTTAATAAATATTGAAAAAGTAAACCTATACTCTATCTTTAAGAGAGGTTCTATCCTGTTCATGAAAACGAAAGGATTATCTTTCTATATGCTACATATATATATACACGTGTATTAGATATATGCATTAGCTGAATTCCTAAGCAAAATTGGAAAATAGCCCCATTTTAGCCTAGTTTTTAAAATATCTCACAAAAAATCTCTCATCAGTCAACATTGAGACGTTATCGACTCCAGTTTTCAATCCAATTGCCCATTGAATTCGCATCCGCATAGAATCACTCTATATAGTTTTACGTATATGATTATAAAAGAGTTTTCAAGTCAAAATAGAATCAAGTTGTTTTCACAGGATTTTCATAAAATTTCCTTGTAGATCTCTTATGTATTAGAATTAGTCATCTATTGGCTTAACTCACCTGTAATGGACGTTGCGGGGGGCCACTCATTGTATGATGATGGTACATCACATCGTGCTTGATTTGGGAGGGCATTTGGCTATGTACATGCTGGGCTTGGTGTTTCTGTATGTCGACGGCGGCGAGGGCCTCCGCTCTGCTGAGTATGCCATCGTTGATACCCGCAAAAATATCACCCTGTATCGATGAGAAACAAATGGAACAGATTTGCCAATTAGTCAACACACACAATCACAATGATAATCTGCTCGAATCGGAACTGGAAGGCAGTATAAAGCATACGGAGTAAAAGAAACAAGATGATAGAGAGATGAGGCCCACATCCACTAGATTTACTATATAAACTATATATATATATATATATAAATAGGTATCATAAAAAGAGCATATACTATATACACATATATATGTATGTGAGTGGGGAAACCTAACATAAGTAAGCAAATATCGTATATCAAATAAATCGAATAGTTTTTGTTTTTGTCTGTTTTGTTAAAGATTAGGTAAATCAATTCAAAGGCATAACAACTGTGTGTGTGTGTGCGTGTGCGTGTGTGTGTGGTTGTACTGTATTGGGTTTTCTTTACTGTGGTTTAACTTACATTCTGACGTGCTGACCACGAATTGCATAATAGGGAAGCATCTTCTAATAAACGACTCTGAAAAGACGAGACAAACAAGGATAGTATATGTATGCACGAGTTTTTACTGGGCTATTTAACATCAAATTCAATTAACAATTTGATTCATATGGAGTATCCCTTTGTCTGTGTGTGTGTGCTGTGTGGGTGTGCGTGCGTGCGTGCGTGTGTGTGCGTGTGTTTACAGTGTGTTCCTCCAATAAAGGGCATTCACAAGAGTTATACATATATCGAGTCGTTGTCTCTCTAGGTTTCATTTGCTATGTGAAAACGAAAACTTCGATTTATAGCTTGATCTACGAATATATATTTATATTGGAAATGATTCCATAAATAAATAAATAGTTTATCTTAATTAACAAGTTTTGGGTTTGAAGGCGAACGACTCTGTCGTACTCTTACGCACCCCAAAACCAATTGTCATAACCCAAAAAGGTCGAGCACTTTAGGCAGGGTTTCAAGGTCTTGCTCTACCAGTCTGATCCAAAACCTACCTGGATTTAGTTAAAGCTAGATAGTGCTCTCTTGCGAGCCTTTACCGGGACACCGTGTCCGGGAGGTAATAGTGAGAAGGCAACAAGAATTAACCAAGCTCTCGTAGCTCCCTAAAAATCTCGTTAGATGTTGTTACAATATTGCTGGAGTTTCGACTTCAGAGATGTCGCATTTCTAAGATGTAGAGGCTTTTGTCAATTTACCACATGGGAATACATATACTTTTTTTTTGTAAGTCCATGAAGTAGATCAACATTAACTCAAGAGAAGCATAATTCAAAATTCTTTTCCAGTTGCTACCTCTGTGAATCCGGTTACAACGATGCTCAAGGAACTATCATTATAATCGGAATTGTATATGATCATATAAGTTTGCTCAAATTGGTTTGTCTGGGGACTCGAATTTCCGTCGCAAGAACCCTATGAATGTTATAAGAGGAGTTGCTATAACCGAATTCTTCTGTGTTTACCTTGGAGTAGGAGTTGCTTATATTATATATTATATATTCGATATTTATGGACACTGATAAACTCCATTTCAGCTCGTGAGCGAGTATAACAAGTAACAGCCTAAGATTTGATATGTTTGATAGATATAGATTTAATTTCATTACCAAATTGTACCCGTATTAAATTAGATCGTTGCCATATTCATATTTACCAGGCAGTTTATCCACATGTCAAGCATTTGACATGAGATACAAGATGTGTATGTTTTGAAAGGGGCGCAAGGACACGCCTTGAGTGCTGCGCTTTAAAGGCGAGACATGCTTGGAGTCTTTGCTTAATATTGATTTCTGCACAACTTGGAGGAGCAGGCAGGTGGGGGCACGGTGGGGGCATGGTCGGGGCATCGGGGAGAGATTGCCGTTAAATAAATAATTGTAAAAGATGCTTGGCGGTTGTTTTTTTCCCTCTCTCTCTCTCTCCCTCTATCTGTGTGTTTTTTGTGAGTCTTGTTGTCGCCATTCTGGGGGGGAGGGGGAGGGTTTCTTCAGTGCTCCAGTCGTATCGATTTTATTTGCTGGCAAATGCTGTGCAGAGCTCACGAATTTTGTAGTTAATGAATTATTTAGATGCGCACAAAAGTTCAAAACAGGGCATTCAGGACACACAGGACACGCAGGACATAGAGGACATTCGGGCACATGGAGCACTCACTCACATTTGCTGGGCGAAAGTTGGCGCAGCGAAAGGATTTCTGCTGCGCGCCGACAGGCGGCCATATTCCAAGGACTCCGTCGACTTGGACGCGCGACGACCGCAACTGCCAGGCGACAGCCATCCAAGAAATCAAAATGTTGCGCATTTTTAATGCAACAGCAACAGCAGGACTTGAAGTTGGACCTGGAGTTGGAGTTGGAGTTGGAGTTGATTTCCTTAGTCGTCGTCCTGGTTTGTCCTGCTTGGCCCATTTGCAGCAGCGACCGGACATGGAAGCAGACACGGCCTAGCTAATGGCCATATTTCCCTGTCACCCTACTACCCCTGCACCCCACTACCCCAGCACTCCAGTGCCCAGGACAGCCCACACACTGCATGGGACAGGGCAGAGCACAATAAATACCGATTTGCACAAGGAAACGGAGCGACGCTTCAAATGTTATTCGCCTAGTCTAGCCAGGTGGCGGCAAAACAAACTAAATGACTTTCATCTGCCCAGAAAATAGTTGGGTTTCCTTTTCTGTTTTTGTAATTTATTTTCAAACTACATATATTTAAAAAAAAAAACATTGAAGAGTTTGGAATATCTAAATGAAAAGTCTTTGGAAAGGGTGAAATTTAGTTAAAGTAAATAAGAAATTTATTTATTTATATTTTCTTATGAGGCATAACCTATAGTATAGATAATAATAAAATATAAAATATAATTTAAATAATAATATCATAAAAAATTTCCAATAATTTGTAATAGCATTTAAATAAATTATTAAGCTTATTTTTTAATGTAAATAATTTACATAGAACAATGCTAAAATACATTAAGGAAAGATTAGGAAACTGTGATTCGATTTTTCATAAACTCGAAATCTAAAAAGGGGATAGTTTTATATGAAAAGGAAATTTTACTTGTGTTTTAAGTTGCTCTGTACTATATATATAATAGTACTATATAATATAATATCATATTGGTAAGTCAATACTGCATAAGATGGCCAGATTCTCTAGTCAGAGGGCCAATCGAGTCTGTTCAATCGGAGTTTCGACGCATTTGTTATTCATTTATTAAGTATTATTTACTAATTATGTTATTTCCTCGAATATCAGGTCTTTTTAGTCTGGTTAATATAGATTAACATACATACATATTTAGCTAACAATTTAAACTAAGTAAATTAGAATTATTATAGTCTACTGAGCAGAGCTTAGCTTAGAGTTTCAATTGAAGAACTGCAGTTGGTCCAATAGGTAAGAATAATGATAGTCTTGAGTGTATTATAAAAATAGATTTTAAGTTTTCATAGAGATTAAAAAAGTATAATTAGATTGAATTCGTGCCGTTCCTCTCTATTCTTCACTGGCTTCAGTCGCTCTCACAGCGCATCAGCTTGATAGAGCTCAGGAACTCGGTAATTGCGCGAAGCGCGGCATGTGGAGAAACTAAATATCATTTGGGCAGTGTTCAATGCTCAGTCGGGTATATAAGTTATTTCGAACACTAATCCACTGCTCACGCATTGCCGTCTATCGTATCAACTTGCAACACATTGACAGCTTCGACAATTAAGAGAAGCATCGCACAGTTCTCTGCCGGTCCTCTGCTATATTTAGTTATAAGAAATGTTGTGCCTAGCCTTTTAAGAAAAATCCTTTTGATCTCTCCAGTACCAATGAAATAATCATATATCAATTATTAAATTTTTACGCAAACTATTTACTGCTTATTTATATTCTATAAATATATTAGGGGATAGTCGATTAATCGTATTCAATATAAGCCAATGGAAAATATTATTAATTGCTTATATACATATGTTTATCAACTTGCGCTTTCTTCATCTTAAAACTATATGAAAAATCTCTATTTTGTAATAAGGGCAAATGAGAAATAGATTTTCTTATAGCTCTACAACTCAAAGTTAAGAAAAATAGATTTAATTTCTAAATTCTAAATTTCGAACAGGACTAAATGGACCAGACCTTAGACCTGATCATCCACTCTTTCGTCTTTCCATACAGAAAGCTTTACCTATCGAAATTTGTTATACAACAACTCCATAAAAGTCTATGTCAAACTCGAATTACCTGGGCGTAGCCTGCTTCATTTAAGATGAATTCAATTTGAATTGATTTTATTTGGTTTTTTTTTTTGATATTCTGACAGAATTTCCCTTTATAGCATACTCCATGAAATATTAAGGCCCATTAGCGGACTAATTTACAAAAATCACCCGGCTAGGCGTAATTTGCAGCTTTATTCAATTTCTTATGAATAAATAAGATTAATTGGTAAAAATAGCTGAAAATTGCTTGGCATAGCGTTAGGCAGCACTAAGGTTATCCAGGAACACGTGTGCCAATATCGGAGCACCACGTGGCCCTGGCCTCAGCCGCAGGCTGCACTCGATGCATTTACCACAACACACACACACACACACACACAGAGTGGCACGTGCCAAAGCGCAAAGTGTCCGTGAACCACGTTTAATAGAAACTCCGATTGCTGAAGCAATTCCGATTGCATTGCCATTTTCATATTGTCATTGGCATCTACAGAACAGATGCTCGAGTGGGGCTGGCCAAAATCTGATATCTGACTGTGAAGAAACGAGTTCGAATCATGTAAAATTAACTTGTAGCTGTATTTGCATATGTGTGTGTTTAGATATAGACCCGAAAATGTACGAGATTTGTTGGGCAAGGGTATTTCCTAGTCAGGCGATTCTCAATCTTATTAAGTTTATTTACAATCCTACTTTGAGATTGGGATTTATGTCAATAAATTATTAAGCAAAGTTCTTGTAACACACAGATGGAGGCATGACAGATCTCTTTTGAGTATATGTATATATTCTTGAATAGTTCGATGAGCTGTGTCACTATAGTAATGTTTGTCTGCCTTTTTGTTCCTACACAGCAAAAACTGAGTTTAGATTCCTGTACCAGATGCAGATGGAAGTTATTCAGCAATCCATTTCTCCAGAGTAAAGCTCATACCACCTCATAAAGGTCAATTGAAGGCGTTGTAATAAAATTTCTGTAGGAATCGGGGTAATCTTTTCATCAAGCCAATCCAGTAAATGTTGTTTTGATACAATTTTTTGTTATCGGCTTTTCAACTGCAGGTCAGGGCGATTCCCGTTAGATCATTTAGTCTAATGAAAGTATGTAAAGTGCTTGCAGTCAACCCTTTGAGCCAATTGTTGAGGGTGGATCATACGAAATCACAGAGATGATATTACTCACTTAGTATTCAGATAAGAGAAATGGCGTCTTAGGAATTTGAAATGGAAATGAACAGATATTCATATATCTGATTATTTTCATGAAGGTTTCAATAGATTGGAGCAATTTGGTACAGC